GGAAGACCCAGGACACGCTGGAGGGACTATGTCTCTCAGCTGGCCTGGGAACGCCTTGGCATTCCCCCGGAGGAGCTGGAGGAAGTGTCTGGAGAGAGGGAAGTCTGGGCATCTTTGCTTAGACTGCTGCCCCCGCGACCCTGGTTCCAGATAAGCGGAAGAAAATGGATGGATGGATGGATGGATGGATGGACCAGAGGAGCAAAGCACTAGGTACTGGTTGTTAAAGTAGTCACTCAAGACTGCAAGACCAGACCGACCAACCTGTGCACTGCCTGGATTGACTACAAGAAAGCTTATGACTCAATTCTTCACACATGGATCCTGGAATGTTTAGAACTGTACAACACTGACAGGACTCTAAGAGCCTTCATCAAGAACTCAATGGGAATGTGGAAAACAACCCTAGAGGCCAACTTCAAGCCAATTGCACAAGTCAACATCAAGTGCTGCTGTTCTGCATAGGGCTGAACTCCCTCAGCCAGATCATCACCAAGAGTGGTTACGAATACCGACTATGGAATGGAGCAACCATCAGCCACCTCCTCTACATAGATGACATCAAGCTGTATGCCAGGAGAGAATGTAACATCGACTCACTGATCCACAGCACTAGGATCTACAGCCAGGACATCAGAATGTCATTCGGACTGGATAAGTGTGGTTGAATGGTAACAAGGAGAGGGAAGGTAGTCAGAACTGAGGGGATTGTACTACCAGAAGGCAACATAGCAGATGTTGAGGACAGCAACAAGTACCTTGGGATCCCGCAGGCAAATGGGAACCATGAACAGGCCGCAACTACCTGCAAAGAGTAAGGCAAGTCCTGAGAAGTCAGCTGAATGAAACGAACAAAGTCCAGGCAATTCACACCTACACCCTGCCGGTCATCAGGTACCCCGCTGGTATAATAAGCTGGCCAAAGGAGAAAATGGAGGCCACTGACATCAAGACAGGGAAGCTCCTTACAATGCACGGCAGATCTCACCCCAAATCCAGCATCCTGAGACTGTACACTAAGCAGAAGGAAGGAGGCCAAGGATTAGTGAGCATCAAACCCACTATCCAGGATGATAGCACATAGCTGGCAGGAGTTTTATTGGACATTTTTAACCTGTCCCTGCATCTTGCTTCAGTCCGTGTGCCTCAAATCCTCCATTATTGTGCCATTGCCCAAGAAATCAGCTGTCCCCTGCCTAAATGATTACCACCCTGTTGCTCTGAAACCAGTGATCATGAAGTGCTTTGAGAGGATCGTCCTAAAGCACATCAAGGACGTCATCCCTGTTGGTCTAGACAGCCATCAGTTCACCTACAGAGAGAACTGATCAACAAAGAATTCTGTCTCAATAGCATTACACACAGCCCTGTCCCACCTGGGGCATCCTAACACTTATGTCAGGATGCTATTTGTTGACTTCAGTTCGGCATTTAATACTGTAATCCCAGATGAACTGGCACTGAAACTGCACAATCTGGGAACACCTGCAATGATGTGTCATTGGATTAAGGACTTTCTCACCAACAGGCCTCAAGTGGTGAGAATCGGAAGCTGCACATCATCCACACTGGTCCTGAACACAGGCACACTGCAGGGCTGTGTGCTCAGTCCAGTTCTCTTCATTCTGTTTACCCATGACTGCTATGCCATTCACTCCACAAATACAGTTGTGAAGGTGGCAGATGACATCACCGTAGTGGGTCTCCTCTCAGACAATGATGAGGCTCACTACAGAGAGGAGATCCAGCACCTGAGAAAGTGGTGTTCAGACAACAATCTTGTCCTGAACACCAACAAGACTAAGGAGGTCATTGTGGATTATAGGAGGTCCAGAAAGACAAAACATGCTCCTCTTCTCATACACGGGGAGGTGGAGGAGCAAGTGGATAACATCAAGTTCCTGGGCATCCATATCACATCTGACCTGACCTGGTCTCTGAACACATCTTACCTGGTGAAGAAAGCCCAGCAAAATGCTTTTTTATCCTCAGGACGCTGAAACTGTTAGGGAGGGGTGTGTGAAGCTCCCGTGAAGGTGGAGGTGTGAACCCAATTAAAGAGCCAGAAAGCTGAGGCAGCAGAACAGGGTTTAATGTCTTTCTGTAAGTTAGATGTGAACAGACACAGTCTTGAGGGATCAGGCAGAGAGCAGTACTTAGTCTGTGGTCAAAATCTCCGGCAGGGCAACAGGGAAGGCAAGGCAGAATCATAGGTCATTAGAACAGGCAGGGCATCGATCTCCAGGTAGCAGTCAGGCAAGAGGGAGGAGGCTGGATCACAGGTCGGTAGGACAGGCAGGGGATCGGTATCAGGATAGCAGTCACTGGAAATTAATGCTGGAGAGTCTAGACCGGGCATAGAACAATCTGGCAGCTCCCCACAGGGTGAGGAGCTGCTAAATACTGTGGTGAGCAGGTGTGAGTGATTAAGGGGCAGGTGAAACCAATGTGCATGATGAGATGAAGTTACCGGGAGTTAGGGTAAACTGGGGACAGGAAGTGGTGTCAGAATATAAGCAGGAACGGAAGCTGGCGGGGCAGGACCATGACAGAAACATGCTGGTCTCTCTCAGTTGCTCGCAAACCTCTACAGAGGGACAGTAGAGAGCATTCTCTGTCTCAGTGTGAAAGTATGGTTACGGGAGCTGCACTGCACAGTCTAGTCAAAATGTACCAAAAAAAAATCTGCCAATGGGGTAAGCAAAAACGACTTAAGAATTCTTGAAATTAGCATAGATATCTAGTCAACAGTAAATGCTACTGAATCTTAAAACTAGATACAAATTCTTAAAACCAGACTTTTTAGCTTTTTATAAGAATTGAATAATAAATAAGTTAGTGAACGCAGCATTAAAACTAGAATATTTAACTTGAATCTAGTCACTAAAAATACTATTGGGTCTTAAAACTAGACAAACATGCTTAAAATTATACTGTTTTCTCTTTTTATAAACACTGAATAATAATTATTTTAGGAAAAATTGCATTAAAACTAGAATATTTAACTTGAATCTAGTCACTAAAAATACTATTGGGTCTTAAAACTAGACAAACATGCTTAAAATTATACTGTTTTCTCTTTTTATAAACACTGAATAATAATTATTTTAGGAAAAATTGCATCAAAACTAGAATATTTAACTTTAATCTAGTCACTAAAAATACTATTTGTCTTAAAACTAGACAAACATGCTTAAGATTGTACAGTTTTCTCTTTGATTAATAATTATTTCAGGAAAAAAATTGCATTAAAACTAGAATATTTAAGCTTAAACCCAGCTTACTTTGATTTTTTTTTTTTAAATCACACAAAAACCTAAAATGAGGTGAAAATTCTCAAAATAAAATGAACCAAGAAATCAGCTTTGAACATTTATTGTTCGCACTTTGGATATGTGAGATGAAATGCATAGTAATAGGCCAGGGGCCTATTTCAAGAAGAAGAAGTTTTCGGTTTCAGAAACGGAGGTAACTTAAACCCGTGAAGCGGGGTAAGTTAAACCCGTTTCACAAAGAGAGGTAATCTAAACTCAGAGTAAGTTACTATGGCAAATTACTCTGTGAACCTAACCTGCTGGCGAGCAGGTTTTGTTCGGGAAACTCAGAGTTTCCTCCGGTCTCCGCCCCTTTTTAAAGTGAAAGGTGTTTAATACCTCATTTAATCTTTCAGTACATTCATAGATTGCACACGTTTCCGTCACGCAGAGACCAAAATGGCGTGTCCATTCATAGAGGATCCTGTAGAGGAGGACGCTGT